TCATACATGTATTTCACAGGTGTATTTCTAATGAGAAACGTTTCTTTGCGTACCACCAAATTTGATGTCTTGACCTAGGAGTTTGGACCACTCTTAAAAAATGCCAAACTTTAACCTAGGTATAAACTTTTCAAAAGATAGTGCCAGGGCTTTCATACTTCGCATGTGTTCATTGTGACAAGACCTTTAAAAGGGTATACATTTTTATGCCCCCGTATGCCCCCCTGAAGTATATAGTTTTTGTCGTGCTCGTCCATCTGTCTGTCTGTCTGTCTGTCTCTGTCTCTCTCTCTCTCTCTCTCTCTGTCAGTATCTCTGTCTGTCTAATCTGCCTGTTTGTCCGCAAAAACTTTAACCTTGCCCATAACTTGTGATTTAGTGGAGCTATGACATTCATATTTCACATGTGTATTCCTTGTGACAAGACCTTTCTTTGGGTACCACCAAATTTGACCTTTTTACCTTGGAGTTTGATCCACTTTTACACAAAAATTTTGAACTTTTACTTTGGCCATATCTTTTGAACAGTAGATACCAGGACATTTTAACTTAGCATATATAAATTTTGTGGAAAGACCTTTCATTGCATACCAACAACCTTGACCTTTTGACCTTGACCTTGGAGATGTCTGTACTTATGAAAAAACTTTAACCTTGGCTATAACTTTTGAATGGTAAGTGCTAGGGCTTTCATACTTCACATATTTAATCCTTGTGAGAAGACACTTCATTGGGCATCAAGAACCTTGACCCTTTGACCTTGGAGTTTTACCTACTTTAAAAATACAACCTTGACCATAATTTTTGATGGGTTAGAACGTGGGCTTTCATACTTCACATATTTATTCCTTGTGACAAGATCTTTCATTTGATATCAAAAACCTTGACCCTTTGACCTTGACCTTGGAGTTTGACCCATTTTTACCCAATAATTCCTAACTTTGACTTTGGCCCTAATTTTTAAACGATAGATACAAGGAATTTCATTTTTCAAATATCAGTTTGGTCATAACCCTTGAACAGGAGGTGCTAGGGGTTTATATATCACACTTGTATTTCATGTGAAAAGGGCTTACTTTAGGTACCAACATATTTGATCTGTATATGAGAAAGCTTAACCTTCGCTATGTTGCCATACGGGGGCATCAGTGTTTCACAAACACATCTTGTTAGATATTTGACGTTGACCTTAAAGTTGGACACACTTTAAAAAAACATTAACCTTGGCGATAACTCATGAATCTATTAACTAGAAATAGACATTCCTTTGAATATGAAAATTTTGACATTTTGACCTTGACCTTGGTATTTGACCTGCATTTGAAAAAAAAAACAACCCTCACCATAAGCATCCATACAGGGGCATCAGTGTTTCACAAACACCTAACATCTTGTGAACATTGTTATTTTTGTAGCAAATTTATTCATCTTTGAAAAAAATAAGTTTTGCCCATAAAGTTATCATTCTCTCCTTAATATTAACATTAAGTGGAAATCGAAGAAGTTCTCCATATACTACGACATCTGGCTTTTTAATGTTCAAACTTAGGATATATTTACAATATTTTAGGTAAAGTTTTTCAATATAAATAATTTTTGTAAATCCTCATCCTTCGCATCCATTCAAATATACTTCTAAGTTCTTATAACTGTCAACGACTACGGGACATAAATCTCTATAAGTTGAATATAGATTCTACGCTAAAAATCATCAAAAAATATTTTCTAAAATCATTTGTGTTGTCTATCTAACATTCACTTTCAACCTCCAGATTATATAATATTCATTGAAACATTTCAATTTTATTTATTTTATGCAATGTAATAATGACTCAAGGTTTCCAGTTTAAACAGTGTATTCAGCAACAAGCCTCTTATATACATGAAGAGGACAGAAAACGGGATAAATTGGCGTCGGAAGCAAATTGAAAGTGGGGGGCTAAGTATGAAAAAACATATTATACCTTCAAAAAAACCTGACAAGCAAAACAAAAAGGTATATGTCCATTTCCCAAACTCGAAAATCCTATTTCGTGGGGGGGGGGGGGGGGGGGGGGGGGGGGGGGGGAGGGGGGTCTGTAGTCCGACGTGTCTGTGGAAAGTGGGGGGAGGGGGCTAAACCTACGCAGCAATGTACAATGCCTATACTAAGTATATATTTGGAAAAAAAGGGGGGGGGTTCCGACGCCTATGAGGTTTACAAAGAAATTAGATAAAGCATCATTTACTGTAGTTTTGCTTTGATACATCATATGTTTTCTTCAGAATTCTAAAATATTTTCTATTTATAAGTTGCAATTAAATTCCATTTTATTATTAAACAGTTAAAGGGCTTCAACCTCCACATAGAATCGAAAGCTTTTTCAAAATCAATAAACGCTCAATTAAAAAAATAAATAAACAAGGGCTTCTCAGTGGATTTGATCACGAACCAACTAAAAGTTCATTCCCAGTGAATTTTTTAACATTGTTGGTTATTACTTATATTTGCATTTGAGACGAATAAATTTCGAGTAAAATTGCATTTATTACACGAACAGGCTGCCGTATTGCTATGTTGTGATGCGCGAAGTTGTTTGGTCTTGAAAGTTCGAATGTTTGAATACATGTACGTTTAGCAGACCAGTTCAGGAAATATCTGTATATATAGTGAAAGAACAAGGGTCGTGCTGAAATAATCCAACTATTTCATAAGTTCTTAAAATATTAAAGTCAAAAGCGGTGGTATCGCCTGATATATTTTCCAGAGGAAAAAAATGTTAAAAATATGTGTGGTTTTAGGCCTTGTATTCTTGTGATTGAAAATGTAAATATTTTTTTCCTAAAATAAAATCCAGCTTGATTTTCTTTTATCCCTTTGAATTCCTCTGAATAACTTTTAAGTCTATTACATGTATTAGGTCCATTAAAATAGGTGTAAATAGCATTCTCAACTATTCTAACTTATCGCTCCATACACAGCTTCCCCATGAGCACGTCATACATTAGTACCCATGACCTTGGATCTTTACTAGGCCCTAATTCGTTATCATTCGAAGAATTTTAGATGCCACCTTGATAAACATGCATAACTTACTGACCTATCTCAATGATAAACTACATTTGCATTCACTCCTGCTGAAAATAAACAACAAAGAGTGTACGTGCCGTTTAAGTTTTCTTTCGTTTTCTGTTTATTTATATAAGGAGACACATACGCGACAAAATCAGAACAGAACGGTTTAACCTTGTTTTCGTCCCCGTAATTAAAGATCCGTGGATATAATTATAGTTTTTGTTCTATCCGTCCGCCTAGCTGTCTGTTTTTAATCTTGACCATATTTACTTATTTGATTGGTTAGAGCTTTGACTTTCATAAATTTCTTTGATTTTCTTTTCAATACAAGTTATTAACTTTTGCGTTTCGGCAGATTTCGTTTCGCACTTTACAGGTACCCACCATTACCCACGATAAATTAAATTCCAGGCTTTTTGATTTGATGGACATCTGCGTTTTCAATAAAAATGGAACTCGTAAATGTACTTAACTTGTCATTGGTCATTTGCAAAATTTTTTGTTAAAATACATTCTGATTGTACTCATCAGTACTCTAAAGTTGACATCAAAAAGATGCTTGAGTTTCTGATAAATAAATTATATCTATGTTGTTTTTGAGACCAGGTTTTCCAACAATCTATTGGAATTCACATGAGTACCAATTTCGTCCCACCATTAACAGACCTATTTTTATATTCATATGAAGCAGAATTTGTGCAAAACTTTATGCGTGAAAGAAAAAAAAAACACTTGCTGTGACCTGCGACTCAACATTTAGATATATCGACGACGCATTTTTCTGTCGATGCGATATAATCAGTTTGAGATAAAAGATAACACTGAGTCTGACACGTCTGTTTTATATTTAGATATTTTACTTGAAAAAAGGCGTTAACTTAAAATAAGGAGTAATTCTTTGATATAGCCTTACAACTGTGATATCCATGCATAATTCTGCCAACAATTGCTTGCAAAAGAGCTATATATTGGTATCAAAGATAATTACAAAGATGTAAAATAAATGCATTTTCACTTCATGACCAAAGAAGCTCGAATCTGGACCACGAGGAGACGAATGTCTAAATTTTGACAAGCTATTTTTCTTGACCATGAAAATAGATTGCTCACATAAGGGGTTTAAGAGTAGAAAAGACTTCCAAAGTTGTAATGTATTTTCAATGTATACCTGCATAATTCAGCCCAAATCATGGGACAATATTAATTTCATATTTTTCGTAAAATCTTACTGCTCATTATAATGAAACAGGCGAACAAAAAAATCTACAAATAGAACGAATCCTTGGAATTTCCAGTCGTAATTAAGATCTTATGACTGAAAGGGGAAAGCGGCCCCTGTCGACCGGCTACACCAGCCGTCAGCCTTACGTATCAATCAGGTAGACTGGATTTCCTTGTGTACATTAATATAAAACAAAAGCCTAAGCATTGATATAATTATCAGTCAAAATATGACCCTATTATGTAACTTAACAGTTTCCCTACTAAATGCGCATTAATTAGTAAAGAAAGAAATTTTAGGTTTTACTTTAATATTTGTCAATCTTAGCTCAACGTTTTGGTTTGGCCCCTAGGATGTGGCGTCCACAATTGCTTAATTGTTTGTTTGCTGTTTAACCTAATTTAAAAAAAAAATTCCATCTAATAAAATTTCACGCGTTTGGAACTTCCCAATGACAAAGTGAGTGCCCCACGACTAGGTTACCTCGATCAGTTCCATAAGTCAGGAAGATTCTTAAACGGTGTTATCTAATTTCCAATAAATGAACAACTTATATCTACCCTGGACTCGGAGATCATGATTTTCACTTTAAGTACAGGTCTAACTTCATTTTGACACAAATGCAAAAGCCTTTGCTGGACAACTACAGACTGTAGTACTAAAAACTAAAAAGATAATTATTTTTATTGCATAAATTTTGATGACTGTTCGATCCCTCGTGGTCCAGGTGAACTGAGACAAAGTGGCTCCTTCACTAGAGATACCCGATTAAGCCAATTGAGAATAACATATTATAAAAAAAAAATACCCCAATTATTACGTTGGCACCAAAACGTGCCTCCTCCATGAATAACTTTCGATATTTTCCAAAAACAAAAAACCTCGTTGATTATACATCATTCTGCTTTATCCAAGAAAAACGGTCGACACCACTACCTCACGAGGCGTCATCATCTTTTTCTTTTTAATCCACTTGAGTATTAGATCCAGTCGTTCTTTATGATCGGTACTTTTTAACTAATCGTGTACAACTGCCTCCGGTAAGTTATATTGTAATTTATCGGGTAATTCACACGAACCAACACACTGTTGGGAGAGATATTCTCCATCTGAATACACTTTAGAACAGTGTTGAGGTGAATGTCTAGAAATGGTTCTTCTTTTAAATATGAAGATGTTACGAAAAAAATCAAGTTTTCACATTTTTTGATAATGTCGCTTTGAATGTCAAATTCAGATTTACCACTTTTGTTTATACTACATTCCTCGAAAATGAATCCTGTCGTGATATTTTTCTCTCTCAAAGGAAGAACGAGAGTATTGTAGACTACTTCTTTATCGCTGTCACCAGAAACTACGTAGCATGAGTATTCCTTGGTACATGTATATTCTACATAATCGCTATCTGACTTGTCCAGTATTGGACTTCCTAAAGAGATTTTTCTAATTGGTTTAATTACAAAGCGCTTGTATAAATGAAACATTTTATATGACACATATCCAAGAAAAATAATTATAAAAAGGAGGATTAAGACTTCAGTGACAAGACGCACTGCTAGTATTCCTGTATGGGAGTTCTCAAACCATATATATTCCATGTTGAATTCTTGAATTTTCCGTATGATCTTCTCTTTGTCCGCCTTTGTTGTGTTGTCCATCTTGAGGAAATAAGGCAGATCAGGTAAAACAATCAGAGTGTCAGGATGATTTACTTTCATAAAGATATACGATCGAGATTTTTCGTCGTAAATTCGACGTATATATTCAACTCTATGAACTCCAAAGAACCAAGGACCTGCGCATTGAATAAATTTTGTTTCATAAGAACCATGACCGTACAGAAAATAATGTGAAGGTGAAGGGAAGTCAGGAATGAAAAACCAATTCATCGCTTTTCCGTAAAGAAAGTAGAGATAGGAAAACGGAGAGCATGTACTGTTTTCTCCCGAGTGAGGAACTCCATTGATGTAATAGTACTGTGCTAAGTCATTGCTTTCAGTGTTAAACGACATTGGCCTCCATTGTAATTCAACAACACTACCCGGTGACAAATACAAGAAGAAAATTTGTCCCTTATATTTCCTTACGCTGTACTGGCCAATCAGATATTCGACGACTAGAATAAATTCACTAGCTTTCTTGTTCTGAAAATAAACCGTCCCACTGGAAGACTCCACCATATGAAAGGAACAGCTATAATCCCCAAATTCCGAGTTTTTAATGGCATCAATGTTAAGGGTACTTTCTACTGATATCCAATTGGTTCGAATGCTCTTGACGTCTGTTGTTATTTTGTTTTGACTACGGATCGAAGCTACATTTCTCCCCTCTAAAGTCCAAAAAACACGTATTTGGTCATGTTGGTCGGCCGCATTCGTTGCAGCAGCACATGACAAACGGACACTTTCTCCTGTACTTATAAAAGGCACATTGCGGTAATATGGAAGTGTTAATCCTCTTTCATCTTTATATTGATATTGTTGTTGATTTCTGCTTTGATACACCATCTCTCCTGTATTAAGAAACAAATCCTGATCTAGATATAAAAAACTATGGATCTTGTTTATCTTACTTATTTTCAGATCATTAATTGGTAATTCTGTATGATCGTTGTAAGACCAGGTCGAAAAGAAATTTCCATTGTTTTCTTTAATGAAGTCTAGCAGATCCTTGCAGGACGAGAAGAACATACACAGAAAGTGGAAAAACATTAAAGCATGAACAATTGTGATTAACAAATACAAAAATGACCTCCATATTTTGTATTTTCGAACTACAGATATCACAAAACCGAAAATAAAACGTACCACTGATGAAATAATTTTGTAAAGTTTTTCCCACTCCATTTGTAACATAACGTCATCCTGTATCTCACCGTTCATATTAACATATCTTACAACGGCTGGGATTAGGCAGACCATGGTGTGGTATATCAAGTGAGGACGGTAACACCCTATCTGAAGTCTTGAAACACGTTTATATATATCATTGGCATCCGAAACTAATGCAACAACTATATGGAATAAAATCGCATATACATAAATTAAATAAAATCTGTATATTCTGTAAGCACACACGGGTACTGTTGTTTCTCCATAGAATGAATTTTCATGGGTGACGTGATTGCAAGTAACTTCGTCCAAATATCCATAGATATTAAAAACAAACGGAGACAGGATAATGATAGATAAACAAAGAACTCCGTGTACAAAATCTATCCTCTTCATTTTGTAACTGCAAAGAAAAAAGATTGTAAAAAAAATGTTAAAAGTTTGCAGTGTCAAATTAAATTCTTTGAAAGTAAATTGAAATACAATCATTATTGAAAAAAGAAATAGGCATAATACAAATGTATAGCCCTATTTCTTCCGCCAACTTATTAAGATTTCACATAGGTCTGAGATGAAACATATGGAGACAGTAAACAGTATTTAAGATCAAAAGTAAAAAAAAAACAATACAAAATAGGAGCAGAGCAAAACGGACCTTCAAAACATCAGAGGTGGGATCATGATGGAGGAGTGAACATCCCCTGCCGACCGGTCACACCCGCCGTGTGCTCCTTGTCATGAATGGGAAATAACGAGAAAATCTGTCGTCAATTCAGTGTAAATAATGGACTAACAATTAGTATGAAAAACGTCCATCAGCAATTGACTCAATAATAAATTGTATGTGCTGACAAGGTCATTGTTTCGACCATAGAACTAACGAAATGATGACTTTAAATGAGACTGCTGAAATTCTTGTTTCATCAACTTGTTTGTCAGTAATCTATCTTGTTTTAGAAATTGTCCATACGTAGAGCATACTATGTACAGCATGCTTTTGCGTATCGAGTCAATTGAGATATATTAACTCCGTATGCAGGTGATGAGGGTATATTGCTGCATAAGTAAGGGAAGTTGACGATAGAAAAGTTAAAGACATCACGTTTATCATTGAGCTTGGTTGTTAGATTACCATTAAGGTCTTTTTCAAGTAAAATAGCCAAATATGAAACAGATGTGTCAGACTTTGTGGTATCTTTTAATATATCATCTATAAATATCAATCGTCTGGTTCACTGCATACGTAAGTTTACATCAGGTAATACTTTGATTTATGTTAAAACATTTTACAGGTTGAATCTCGCTATTCATCTGATCATTTAAATTTTAAAAAACTTTTTTTTTGCATTTAATGCTAACGATTTTAAACTTCAACTCTGAACCTAGCATATTATATAAATAAGAATATAAATGCTAGGTTTGGTTTTATAATTCGAAAAATTTTGAAAACTTCATTAAGAAAAAAACATTCATTTTAAAAAAGTCAAGAAAATGAAACTTTGTTACAAAATTGTTAAATGCTTTTCAATACCAAGAATATAGTTATTGCCACTTTGGCAAAATGATGGACACAAGGAAGTGAATCTTTTGAAATTTAGCACTTCAACTAAAAACTAATAACCGTCTAGCTATTTTGAATAAAAAAAAAATGACGCATACATTTATTCTCCAATCCATGGAGTGCAATAAGCCTCGGATTGGCATGTGATCTCTTTAATACTGTAACAGTCCATTGAGTTTATGGGGTTTTGTGTGTGCTTGTGTAATAAACCTAGAATTAAAGTTATTTTTAAAATTGATGTCATTATACATGAGTTTTTTTTAATATACCCTGTATTATTTTGGATGATATTCCGACTGGTTCTTATGATAATCGTAACAAATGAAGCGTTAAATAAACTTAATATTTGTATCTTTATAAGGTCAACTTCCCTTAACCAATTTATGAAACTATGAAAACGGTCTGGTACCCCATTTTACTGGTAATGATTGAAAACTGTCTGTATACCTCCGTTCACTAGTATAGTTGCTAAAATAAAGTGCGACTATATACTGTATAAAACACATGTTCCACAGTCAAACTCCGCACAAGCAGTGGTCCTTCAGAAGATATGTAAAGTTAGCTACTAGTAACTGGCTACTAGTAGCTGGCTACGACAAGTGGGTAAAGTTGGCTACTAGTAGCTGGCTACGAGAAGTACGAAAAGTTAGCTACTAGTAACTGGCTACTAGTAGCTGGCTACGACAAGTGGGTAGAGTTGGCTACTAGTAGCTGGCTACGAGAAGTAAGAAAAGTTGGCTACTAGTAACTGGCTACTAGTAGCTGGCTAAAACAAGTAAGTAAAGTTGGCTACTAGTAACTGGCTACTAGTAAATGACGTGAACCTTCTAGTACCTTTTGTGTAAAATTATGCAAACTTGGGATAGAAATGTTGATATTCTTGAAGTAGCTGGATTTTTACATCACTGATATCCACTGATATTGTTGATAAAAACTATATCTGAGCTTTTCCACATGATCTGGCACTAAAGTTACCAAGATATCGTTAGTAATAAATACAGCTACTTGTACCTTTTGTTTAATATTATGCTATTTTGGGAGACAAATCTTAATATTCTTGAAGTAGCTGGATTTTTACATCACTGATATCAACTGTAATTGCTAATAAAACAAATCTCTGAGCTTTTCCACATGATCTTGCACTAAAGATACCAAGATATCGATAGTAATAAGCTCAGCTACTTGTACCTTTTGTTTAAAATTATGCTATTTTGGAAGACAAATCTTGATATTCTTGAAGTAGCTGGATTTTTACACCTCTGATATCAACTGACATTGTTGATAATAACAATTTCTGAGGTTTTCCACATGATCTGGCACTGAAGTTACCAAGATATCTGTAGTAATAAACTCAGCTACTGGTACTTTTGTTTAAAATTATGCTATTTTAGGAGACAAATCTTGATATTATACAAGTAGCTTGATTTTTACACCGCTGATATCAACTAATATTGTTGATAAAAACATTCTCTGACCTTTTCCACATGATCTGGTGCTGATGTCACCAAGATATCGTTAGTAACAAACTCAGCTACTAGAACCTTTTTTTAAAAATTGTGCAATTTTGGGAGAAGACCTTAATATTCTTGAAGTAGCTGGATTTCTACATCACTGATATCAACTGATATTGTTGATAAAAACAATCTCTTAGTCATTGCAGATGATCTGGCACTAAAGATACCAAGATATCGTTAGTAATAAACTCAGCTACTAGTACCTTTTGTTTAAAATTGTGCTATTTGGGAGACAAATCTTAATATTCTTGAAGTAGCTGGATTTTTACGTCACTGATATCAACTGATATTGCTGATAAAAACAATCTCTGACCTTTTCCACGTAATCTGGTGCTGATGTCACCAAGATATCGTTAGTAATAAACTCAGCTACTTGTACCTTTTGTTTAAATTACGCTATTTTGGGAGAAAAATGTTGATATTATAGAAGTAGCTGGATTTTATACCACTCATATCAACTGATATTGCTGATAAAACTATATCTGATCTTTTCCACATGATCTGGCATTAATGTTACCGAGATATCTGTAGTAATAAACTCAGCTACTTGTACGTTTTGTTTAAAATTATGCTATTTTGGGAGACAAACCTTAATATTCTTGAAGTAACTGGATTTTTACACCGCTGATATCAACTAATATTGTTGATAAAAACATTCTCTGAGCTTTTCCATATCATTTGGTGCTGATGTCACCAAGATATCATTAGTAATAAACTCAGCTACTAGTACCTTTTGTTTAAACTTGTGCAATTTTGGGAGACAAACCTTAATATTCTTGAACTAGCTGGATTTTTACGTCACTGATATCAACTGATATTGCTGATAAAAACAATCTCTTAGTCATTGCAGATGATCGGGTACTAAAGTTACTAAGATATCGTTAGTAATAAACTCAGCTACTAGTACCTTTTGTTTAAAATTATGCTATTTTGGGAGACAAACCTTAATATTCTTGAAGTAGCTGGATTTTTACACCGCTGATATCCACTGATATTGTTGATAAAAACATTCTCTGACCTTTTCCACATGATCTGGTGCTGATGTCACCAAGATATCGTTAGTAATAAACTCAGCTACTTGTACCTTTTGTTTAGAATTGTGCAATTTTGGGAGACAAATCTTGATATTCTTGAAGTAGCTGGATTTTTACATCACTAATATCAACTGATATTACTAATAAAAATTATATCTGAGCTTTTCCACATGATCTGGCACTGAAGTTACCAAGATATCTGTAGTAATAAACTCAGCTACTTGTACCTTTTGTTTAAAATTATGCTATTTTGGGAGACAAACCGTAATATTCTTGAAGTCGCTGGATTTTTACACCGCTGATATCAACTAATATTGTTGATAAAAACATTCTCTGACCTTTTCCACGTGATCTGGTGCTGATGTCACCAAGATGTCGCTAGTAATAAACTCAGCTACTAGTACCTTTTGTTTAAAATTGTGCAGTTTTGGGAGACAAACCTTAATATTCTTGAAGTAGCTGGATTTTTACATCACTGATATTAACTGATATTGTTGATAAAAACTATATCTGAGCTTTTCTACATGATCTGGCACTAAAGTTACCAAGATATCGTTAGTAATAAACTCAGCTACTTGTACCTTTTGTTTAAAATTATGCTATTTTGGAGACAAATCTTGATATTCTTGAAATAGCTGGATTTTTACATTACTGATATCAACTGATATTGCTGATAAAAACAATCTCAGAGCTGTTCCACATGATCTGGCACTAAAATTACCGAGATATCTGTAGTAATAAACTCAGCTACTGGTACCTTTTGTTTAATGCTATTTTGGGATACAAATCTTGATATTCATGAGGTAGCTGGATTTTTACACCGCTGATATCCACTGATGTTGCTAATAAAAATAATCTCTAAGCTTTTCCACATGAACTTGCCTTAAAGATACCAAGATATCATTAGTAATAAATTCAGCTACTGGTACCTTTTGTTTAAAATTATGCTATTTTGGGAAACAAACCTTAATATTCTTGAAGTAGCTGGATTTTTACACCGCTAATATCCATTGATATTGTTGATAATAACAATTTCTGAGCTTTTCCACAAGATCTGGCACTGAAATTACCAAGATATCTGTAGTAATAAACTCAGCTACTAGTACCTTTCGTTTAAAATTATGCCAATTTAGGAGAACAACTGTTGATATTATTGAAGAAACTGCATGATTTTCCACTGATATTAGTAATAAAAACAATTTGTAAGTTTTTCCACATGATCTGGCACTGAGGTTACCAAGATATGGTTAATGATAAACTCAGCTACTAGTACTTTTGTGTAATATAATGCAAT